GTTTGGCCCAGTTCGGCGGAGTTCGCCTTTTGCCCCCCAGTTTTGGGTGGAGTTTGGGGGCTCAAAACTGGGCCCTCAGTTTTTCCCCTTCTAAAAGTGTTTGACTCCTCAGATCCCCCCCGAAAAGTTTTTGACGAACTATGCGTGAGTCAATGCACACCACTAAACACCACCAAGTCCTCTGCCCCAAAACAACCGATGATCGATTCTCCTTGTTTGGCTTGGGATTGGGGATCGGCCAGGGGGCCAATGCTTTTAAGGGTCACTGGGCTGGTCGAAAACCTCCGACGCGTCGGCCGAGAAACTTGGGAAGCAATCAAGTTCTGTGAAACTGGGCTGTCCATGGCTGTCCGGAGATCCCCTGCTAAAAGTTTAAATTTGAGTGGGGCAAATGGAAATCCCCACCAAACACCAAAAAGCTGACAAGCTAAGGAACCGGATGGCTGGTAATCACCAAGGAAGGAGGATGCCATTCTGTGGGTGTTTTTGCGACCGCTTTAATTGAGAAATCAAGGGTCCGAGGTCCCACATGATTTGACATCTTCTTTTTGAGCACTGCACGCGTAAGAAACACAACAAAGGGTCGTCGACACTGGCAACACGTGATTTTGGGATGTGTAGTCTGGTGCCTACCTCCCACTGCTCATCTCGCAAGGCTTCAACGGGGCCGAATGCCTGAAACGTCCTGAAACGTAGAACTTCCCTTCAAATGAAATATGCGCCTCACATGGCGCACACGTCAAAGTTTAAACTTGGATGGACAAAATCCTGCACGAGTTGGTAGGTGGTTTATCCCAGGACTCATAGGTTTCATTCCCTCTCTGCAGTTGGTGCAGGATATGTTCCATCCACAGTAGGGTTCTCTAACTTCCTTAGCAGGAGGGGTTGAACGTGTTCTTCTAAAAACCTAGGCAAAGTCCACTGGCGAATGAGTAAATGAGCACCACACTCAAATTAGTGGAAGGTCCTTGACTTTCAATCAAACTGGCCCCAACAGCGTTGCACAAGTCAACCCCGCCATGTTTGATCAGGTTGGCGTAAGGATTTGGACGTTGGCGGATACCCGGGTTCGAAGCTACCTTAGCAGACAAAGCTTCGCCCAGCCCAGCCCTGGCTTTGGACGGTTCACAAAGCACGGGTTGCAGTCCAGGCGGAGAAATCCATCGGATCTTAAACCTTGCTTTCCTTCAGTACCCAAAACAGACCTCAACATGGGGTCTACAACCCTTGGGCACCAAATCATGTTGTCAGCTTTGGCTGCCACTTGCTCTATGATTTTGGCCTACATTCAGCCCCTAAACATAAATTTCAAAAGCAATCCCTTCCCCCCCCCTCCCCCCTACCCCCCTACACCCTAGGAAGGGGGGGAGTAGGAGGTAGGGTAGAGGGGAGGGTGTGGGGCCTGTAAATACCAACAAACGTTATGGTTTCAACCATGGTTTCATTTCGTGGTGTGAACGGATTTCGCAACCATCCACAGTAACTCCGCCATTTTGTATTTTTTGTATTTTCCGTTTACCGCCGCCGCCAAAAAATATCCTGCTGCCGTGCCTGGCCGCGGAGGAGCTGTTGTTGTGCCTCCTCCATCTCGCCCTTTCCTCGGACACGTTGGGGTCGAAATTCGGGGACTGTCCTTCTTCGTTTCCTTTCTAGGTCCTCCAGTAGAGAGGTTAGAATAAGGGTACCTTTTAGTAGGGGAACCCTCCCTCTTGCTTAGTTGCTGCAAGGAGGACCCCCCTGTAAAAAGTGATTAACTTTTTTGGGGGGTTAGTGGAAAACACAACTATTTTCCAAAAAGTGAACCAATAGCAGTCAAGCTTGGTCCTCACCTCTCCGTTCCAAACCCAGCTACAAAAAGGACGGAGAGGACATGAGAAAGAGAAAGAGAGGACATGAGATAGCACTCTCGTTTCCCTTCAATACCAACCCAAAAGGGTGGCCTCTAACAAAGACACACCCAGATGTCGGACGGCGGGGGACTTTGCCAAGGATGCTGAGTTGCCCTTCCAAGAAGCACAAGCAAAGTACGCAAATCGCTTCAAGAGAGGTCTTTGCTTTTGGGAAAGCCGCTGAGCGCACTGCCATGTTTGGTGGGAGTCCCGCATTGCAACTGCAGCAAGATGGTGCGGTCACACCCCTGCAGGCCTGAAGGTTTCCTGAGAGGTTGGCCTCTAAACCCCTAAAGGAAAAGAGGAAAAGGGACAAACAACCGCGTCTTGACTTTGAGAATTGCTCCCGTAATTTCCGTAAGAAGGTGAAAAGGCACACCTGGGACTTCTCTGCGCTTCTACCGAAAGCCAGACCTCTAGGGAAGCGGCCCCCAGCTACTGCTACGAACCCTCCGAAGCAGTCGTCAAACAAACGAACCCAGCAAGAACATTCCAGATTTTAAGCCCTGTTGAGACACGCGTGCGCCAGCCAGCCAAGGCCGGCCAGCGCGCCACTCTCTGATTTTTTTTTTGTATTACACCCTGGGATTACACCCTTGGGAAATGACCCAGAATGGCTCAAAATAACACGGTTTTATCCGGAAATGTGCCTAAATGGGGTCAACACCCCTGGCTAAGGCCTAAGAAGCACTTTGAAAGCTGTGCAATCTAAAAACTAGGTGCAAGCGCAGCATAGGGCAAAGCCAGGGCAGACGGGCATTGCAACGCAAAGAAACCCACGCCAAGTCATGGAAAACCAAGAGATGCAACATCAAGGCGAAGCCACCCCGCGGCCCATGCCTCACAAACCTATTTTGTGGAACATAATGCGACGGCGGGATCCCCATCCCCATGAAGAGTTCATCAGTTGGATTTGCTTGGCCTATCACAAATGGTGGCCACCCGAACCTTCAAAACGGTGTCATTTTTCAAGGGTTGGGTGTCGTCAAAGGGTAAGCAAAGGAATGCTAGCGGCCCCAAAGCATTGGGAACCTTTCTCAGCTGTTCTCTTGGTGGCTTCCACATGGGAACCCATGAGCTTCAATTCACCCCAGTGGATTCGCTTGAACAAACATTTTGCCCAAAAGTGAATTTACTGCACGTGTCAAAGTCAGCATGTGGCAACCCGCCCCCCCACCCCCCCTCACCCCCCCCTCCCGGCCCCGGCACCCCCCCTCCCGGCCCCGGCACCCCCCCTCCCGGCCCCGGCACCCCCCCTCCCTCCCCCACTCGCCCCCTCACTCCCCCCCCCCTTCACCCCCCCCCCCTGCCACCTCAACCAACCCTTTGAATTTCCCCCGCCCCGAGCGCCGCGCTGAGCAGCTGCGCCCCATCCGTGCAGCAGTTCGCCGCTAGGGCCCGCAGCTCCTGACACGTCAGGGGCATATCGGCCATGGGGGGGGCCTCCCTGCTGGGCCCTTCACCGGGGGAGAGAAAGAGAGTGGCGCAAAATGGGGGCTTCACCAAGAGGTCTAGCCGGAGTTGGATTCACAACCTACTGCTTTTTTTTCTCAGTTCAGGCTGGCTGTTCAGCTCCCAGCTGATCCAGGATGAGGTGACCTGTTCTTTTGGGGAAGGCCGTATTTTTGACTGCAGCTGGTGGTCATTGCATCCTTCACCTGGCAAAACGTGCTGGTTTTCGAAAGGCAGGGGATGAGAATACCCGAAACAAACAAACCATCCAACTGGTGGTTTCCTTTCAGGGAATCCCCAGGTTCATTCCTGCATTCCCTGAGCACCAGCTCGCAAAGCGGGGGTCGGACAATTGCAGAAGCAACAAAGGCAAGGTTGTCAAACACGGGGGGCAAAGACAGCTTGATGGCAAAATCCGTAGGTTGGGGTCGGGGCACCAAATCTGCAGAGCTTCTGACATTTCTGACAACCTCAAGTGTAAAGTGTGTTGAATCTTGAAAACTATGTGTTGGGGGAAAAAAGCAAGGATCTATCAACATGCTTTAACCTCATGCCCAATAATGATAAACAAACGAATGAACATAGAACAGTACTGATGATTGAAATGGCCCATAATCATGGCAGTCCTAAACAACAAGATAAACATGGAAGCATAAGAGCAGACTATTTGGCCTTCCTGCAGCCTTCCTGCAGCAGCGAAAGATGACCCGAGAGGTGCGCAGTGACCACAGGGACTTAGGCTTCTTAGGGGGCATGTGAGTCACAATCAAAGCCCGGTATTAAAATGGTTGACCCGGAACCATGTAAGGAAATACAAAGGCGGCCGCAGCTGTTTCTGGCTGGGAGTGTCCCTTACTAACCTTCATCTACCCGGGTTTTGATTGTGGCTCATGTGGTGTTAGGGACTGTCCGCCTTCCTTCGTCCCCTTCAGTTCCTTGCACGCACGCCTTGCGGCTCCCAAGCAACGACCTGGTTTCTTTGGCTGAGCAACTAATATGGAAAACCAGGGAATGCCAAATTTCAACACACATAGATATCATTTTAGGGGAAGTAGATGGGTTTCCCTGGTAGATGATGAAACCACCAGGTAAACCAGGGCCATCTATTTTCTAGCAAAACAACCAAAAAGGACACCTATGTCAACACATGTCACATACCCAGGAGGGAAGCTGAGAGGCGGGCCGGGGAGACCCGCCTTGCGAGTCTCAGTTTAGGAAAGATTTGTCAGCTCCGATTTTGCGTGCAAGGTACCGTGAGCTTGATTACTACCCTGGCGAGTTCAAGCAGCCAAGCTCGTTGATGTCATCCCTGCATCCTGATGAATTCCTCCCCCCCTTTTCACGTTCTAATCGGGGGGGGAACGGGACTCAGACTGTCTGTGCCATCTTGTCCACTCCCCCCCTACGCGCCCCCCCAGACAAACCTCCATCAAAGCACCTGGGAGGCCTTTGGGAGTTTTGGACTGATCTGCGGCGAAAAACCTCGGCCTCCGGGGATGCGGTCGCCGAATCCTTGGTGCTAACCTGAGGCCAAGCCAACCCTAGCAAAAACCGTTTGACTAGCACACCACAAAAGACTGCAACTAACAAGGAAACAAAGAACAATGAAGCACAGAAGCAACACAAAGAAGTGAAACCAAAAGCGCCAAGTCCGAACAAGCACAAGATGCGCATACTAGTATGTACCTGGCCAAATTACTAGAATGGGTCTATAATGCGCAAGTCGGAAGCTTTGACACCCCAGCAAAGAGCCTTCATCTTAGGTGAGCTCGTTTTACCTTTCTCCCAGGATGAGCTGGGAACAACTCGCCCAAATGCATGTTACGCATGGGGATGTGTCAAAATAGGGAGCCCTTTAAACCAATTTGAGAAAGAAAGGTGCCCTCCAAAACCACACCCTCAAGTGTATAGTATGTGTGTGTGTGATGGGAATGTGTCAAACTAGGGCAGCCCCAAAACGGTTCGCTTCCTTTTGGTTTCCGTTTGCAACCAGGTAAACGGGGAGTCCCTCACACCGTGCATATTATGCACTTCTGAGTTGCTAGTTTGGGCCATCTAGCCCAATGTCTCCTTTGTGGGCGCTGCGGGGGGAGGGGGTTCGACCAAGGTGAAATGGCGCTGTTAAATAAGCTGACTGCGGGGAAAAAAGCCTAGACTAGAAAATAGAAACCCAATGGTTGAAGAGTTGCACACAGCAAATGACTAGAAGCAAACGGAAGCCAGTGCCATCCATACATATCCGACCCGAGCTGACCCAAAAGCTGACCCAAGAACACCTAGCTGCAATTGGCTTACAATCATTCCAGCCTTTTGTTTGTTCTTCCTTGCCTCAACTCGATGACTGGTGGCCACGTTTCCACGCTCCCAGCACAATCAACGCCGATCACTCCATATTTCTGCTTGTTGAAAGAAGAGAGCAAGTTCCAAGCAAAGAACCTTCATCCAGGGTCACTGGATTTCCCCGTCAAAAGCTGCAATTTCCAGGTGGTTTCCCTTGAAATTGTCACTGTTGAAAGGGCAAACGGAGGGAACCTTATCATCATAAGCTTGTTTTATCGACCAGAACTCGCTATAAGCGGGAGCGTTTGCCGGGGTCCGGGCCATCGGGGCCTCGTCCACGCTCTCATCCTGAGTCGCCACGACGCCAACCCTAAAAAGGCACCCACAGGAACTCGGCTTTGGAGGCCGAAATTCCATTGGGTTTCTTGGGGTAAACCTCTGAAGGTCGCAGGCTTGCCAAATTAAGTCAAACAGCAACCTGAGGATGTTTTTGAATTTCAAGACGGGCAAGTTCTTGGAACCGTCGACGCTGCCCATGTGCGCCCACAAAGCCTGCGACAACTGGGCGCAACCCAGTGTACGCAGTTTAAAGGCTTCATAAGTTTTTCTCAATACTGACGCTCTGCCACTAAAATGATTTTCCCAAAAAGTGAGAAAACCACTTCAGAGATCCCAAGAAGTGGTCGGCTGTTCACGGAACACCTGAAGTTCAAAAATCGATCCGCGCCTCATCGTGCTGCGACTCGTTGGTCGCATCCTCGGATTCCGAGTCACTGTCCTCCATGACCTGCGAGCTTGGGGCCCGGTTGGGGTGGAGGGGAGGTTCCAATTTTTTGGGTTCCACGAAGTACATGCACACAAGCAAGGAAATATACCCAAAAACATGGTCGCGTTTTCGACACAAGCCGTTGAGCGGTGCGGAGGTAGGAAAGCACATGCCTTTGGAAAAGGCAATTGTTTGATGGTTTGGAAACAGTGTCGCGATATTTCATCATGTTCACTTCAGACGGCGACTACTCGTGGCCGAGCAAGGCACTTCTTTTGCAGTATTCGTTGTCAGTAGGGCAGCCTTGCCTGATGCCAGCATACTCTCATCTGTCAGTATAGTCTAGCGCGTGATTGGTTCAATGTGGGCCCCACGTGAAGCCAAAACAAGTGATTCAACGGCTGCAAAACAGGTCGATCCACAATAAATTGATGCACAAATCAACCCATGACGGTGCACCCAAAAAATGTCCGTTCTACAGCAAAATTATGTCCGTTGTTCGGCAACAAATGTCAATTCTACGGTTGTTCCACGGTTTGTCAACGGCCCACCTGCGTCCAAAAAATGCCGCACAGCAATTTGATCAGCATGGTTTGCCCCTGGACTAGACAATCTCAGTGCGTTGCCCCCAACCTCCCTGTGACATGACTGTGTGGTTGTGAATGGTTTGTTCATGGGCTGCGAGATTTACACCAAATTCTGTAAATCTTCCAGAGTCCCTTCGAAAATGAGCCACCAACTTGGTCGCGCACCCAAAATGGCTGAGCCAGAACAAAAAATAGCCGTTGCCCCTGGCACATGTACGTACTGGTCGAGGAAGTTTAGGGGTAGGCTGTTACGCCATTAGATGAAGCTATCAAGCTGTTACGCTGTTAGACGCTGCGCGGCGTCGTGCTCAGATTGTTGTTTTTTCGACACACGCAGCTAGATTCCGGGCTCACAACGTTCTCGGCGCGATGCAGCTCTTATGCCGTTCCGCAAATCTATTAAGCCATTACGCCGCTAGACTAAGTGCTTTCTGTAATAGCTTTATCGCTTGCTCGCTTGACGTAGGTCGCCTAATCACTCAACAGCTTGCCCCGATGGCTTTAACCGCTTGCCCCATTCGCTTAATCACACGCTCGCTGATGTTAGTTGATTAAGCGCTAGCCGTCTGCGCTGACGGCTTCATGGCTTGATTGCTTGTTCACGAGTAGTCATGAGTCATGCGCTATCCTGGAAAAAGTCAGAAGAGCATAAGCAGTCGTCTCCACCTCCACATGGACATCGCCGGCCGCTGCCAGGGTTTCAGTTCAATGCCACAGCCAGAAAAAGAAAGACCCTGGCTACAAAACTAGAACAAGAAAGACAAACAAGCCGTGGTCTTCCCATCATGGTTTTCAGCGGCAGCAGCAGCAGCAGCAGCAGCAGCAGCAGCAGCAGCAGCAGCAGCAGCAACAACAACAACAACAACAACAACAACAACAACAACAACAACAACCACGACCACGACCACGACCACGACCACAACCGCAACCGCAACCACAACCACAACCACAACCACAACCACAACCACAACAGCAGCAGCAGCAGCAGCAGCAGCAGCAGCAGCAGCAGCAACAACAACAAGTATTATGAAGCAACATAACAACTGAATGAAGCACATAACACATGAGCCAAACAAACACACACGCAAACAAACAGACAAACAAATCAACACATAAACCTTGCCTTGACCGCTGCGTCGGCGCAGGTTTTACAATCCCTCCTGGTTGGGAGGGCCGGCCGGTGCCCACAAAATGGAACTGATGGAATCCCACTCTCTCCCCAACGCCACGTTTCAGGGGCTAGGCATGGTGCTGACCATCCTTGCAATGCTTGCAGCGCAGCAGCCTTGCAACGTGAAATCGGAACTTCGCTGGCTGCTAACGCCCGCCGGCAACACAAATACTGTACGTACATTTGCTTAACCCTCTTGGAAAAATCAACATATTTCCAGTATTGTTAGATCCCCTTTAAAAACACAAAGGGAAATCCAACAAATTCTTAAGCAAGTGGAAGTGTATCATTGTCACACTTGAGTATATTGAAACTGCAAAGCAGAACCGCATATTTCCATGCAGGACTTTCGCCGAAGAATTGCTGGATGGTGTTTCTGAGGGGCGCCCTGGGTTCTGAATCCCGTTCTCACTGGTCCTTTCCAGTCCTCTCCTTGTTTGGGCGAAAGGAAAGCAAAAGGACAAAGAACGAGTTCGTAGCCATGAATGGGAGGATCGTGCAGCCCGCTCCACACCTTCCAAGAAAATCTTGGAATCTTCTCTGATGGGTCCCCTAGGGTTCTGCAAACTTTTCTGGGCTTTAGCGGTGTCACCCGCACAGGGAACAGCAGCAGGGAACACATCCCTGGCAATCAACCAGGGCTACTTGAACCTCGAGCGATCGAAACCGATTCGTTGGCCTACCAGTGCCAAGCCAACCTTGGAGCCGCGTCAGGCTTGAACCGTAAGGGGTGCAACACCTTTGACCCCCTTCCGGATCGGCGGTTTCTGCCGGCAAAGGGCAGAAGGAACTCACTAATTAACTATGTTGCTTTCTGTAACCCTGCTAAAAGTTTAACTGTTCGTGGTTTAATGGAAAATCCATCAGTTGGCCAAAAGCTAAAGTCCTAACTTTCCAAGCAAAATGCACCAAAGTTACAGGGCACTTCCCTTCACAACCCGCCCTTTGATTCTTCAAGGTGGACATGCGATCTACAAACCCTTAGCTTTTGTGAGCCATTGTGAAAATCAGGGGTCCCACAAAAAAACAGGATCCATCGTGGATGCGGCAGACCTGGTGTCAGGGGCGTGCTCTTCTGGTGCGGTCACTTCACAGTTTTCTTTGAAATGTTAAACTGTCATCGTCATGGCCCGTCCAGATCAGACTCTCAGGTGCTGCAGGCATATGACGTTGTCATGGCATGCAAACACACGCGCACATGAGTACGCATCAGCATGAACCAAACAAAAGGGGCTTGAGTGTTTCATGTTGTCTCTAAACAGATCCCCACCCCCTACCCAGGAAAATAACACAGCAAATTAGGCCCCCCTGTGCTCACAAAGGAAAATTGTGTGGGGGCGCTTGGGGGTGCAGGAAAACAGGCACACAGGCTAGCACCCCAGTCGCGACTAGCAGGTAGCCCGAGGCTGTCGCATGTTATCGGCCCGCGCGCTCCGAGAAACACTTTGTGCCCGCTGCGGAAGAGCAGAAAGAGTGCGAGCGCGCGTCAAGTCAGCCGCGTCTCAGGTCCAGGTGCAGGGACCCTTTTGGACCTGGGCCTGTAGGAAATCCCATGCCCAAGGCTCCGAAATGCCAAATTTGGGGAGAAACTCTCAGCTGCAGTTCCCTCAAATAGAACCCCCAACCTGCACTTCTCATGAGTCAGCCTGGGTGTCGGGGGGAAGCTTGGCAATGCTTGAAGAATGACATTTGCCTTTCGTGCTGCTGCCTTGCCGAGCATTTTTCACCATTTTCCGCATGCTGCCACCCTTGCGAGCCTATAGATTGGCAGACCTGCGGTCAAGAGCTAGCTATATCGAACGGCCCTCGCAGCCAAACGATCTCTTCTTGGCCCATGCACGCTCCAGCATGCACGGCGCCAGCAAGTGTGCGTGGGAACAGCTCACTGCTTGTTCATGCAGCATTTCTTGTACCTCGCAGCTTCGCTAAGGGCAACACCCGCACACGCTTCTGCATGTTAAACAGGGGATGTAACAAATCAAAGCTCACTCATTACCTTCTCCCTGCTGGTTTTCTTCCAGGCAAGCCCATTTGTGCGCTGCCTTGGCATGCTGCAATTGAGCCAAGTCGCTTCTTGCCGGAGCCACAATCACCTTAGGCTTTCGAACAAGACCGGCCTGTGCAGCATTTACTACACAGAGTTGGAGCTACCAAGTTGGCCCAAGCTCGGTCATGTGCAAAGTGACCCTGCGGACTCCTTGCAATGAATTTTTAAAGAAGTGGGCCCTGCATACACAAAGAGCTCTATAGTTGGACCTGATGCCACGCATAGTGCCGCGCTTCTTCGGGAATATTGGACCGATGGTCAGTTTCCAAGGAGACCTTCCCATTTGCAGGAACGTGCTCATGACTGAAATCAATATTCTATATGCAAATGCAGCGGCCTAGGCAAATAAAGCAACAACTCGATCGATGTCTAAGATCAGTACATACCTGGATCTTCCTTAGGTGCTGTATTTCTGCATTTTCAGCAAAAACTGCCCTTTGCTGCTGGTGGCGCCTTTGTTCCCCTCTGGGCAACTTGTGTTTTAGGCGAAACCCATAAAGTTGAAAAGGCGAGTCTTCCCCACCCAAAGGCGACTTTCCCCAACCTAAATGCGACTTTCCCAGCCGACTTTGCAGACATGTTTGCAATAACTTTCAATCCGCGCTTTTGCAATGAAACGGTGTTCTTCAACGAAACGCCTAAAATATGTGCTTGCTCGGCAAGAAGCAGAAACAAACACATATGGAAATTCCAGGGCGTGCACATATAATATATGTAGCGTGCGTGGCATTGCTTGGTGCTTATACGTGTGTACCAACATGTTCATCTGCATGGTTTTGCTTGAACCAGCACAGAAACACAAACAACAAAACAAGCGTGACACCCAACAAGCAGTGCAGAATTTGCCAGGGCACAATTATCGTTGGGCTTCAGCTTGGGTGCTGACTTCGCCGTGGGGCCACCCGTGGACTTCACGACAGACTTGAAGGTCTGATCCTCTGACGAGGTAAACATTTGGTGCCGGACACGTGATGGAGGCTGGTGAATGGAAGGGAAGTAGATATGTGTTGGATATGTTCGATGTGGTTTGGAAAGGGAATGAAGAGAACCAAATTCGCCAACAAGCATGAAGCAGACATTGTTCCTCCCCGAAAATCGACATGGAACTCAACGGCCACCCATTCGGAAAAGGAATCTTCTCAGGCAAGCAAAACCAATTTTCGGCGCTCCGTGTTAACTTTCAGGGGAACAGGCTCATGCGACTTGTCCTTTGTCAAGGACCGTGGGTTCTGGGAGTTGGCCTTCTAAGCATGAATGTGAAACTCTTCCGGTTCGGTGGAACAGCCAACGCACGACTCTGAAACAGCGAGCAAACCTACAGGAGATTGGAAACACACAGGCACACACACACACACACACGTTAGCCAATTTTCTGAATATGCTGCGGCTTCTACAAATACGAACTCCATTCCGAAGCATCAAGTCAGCACCCGGGCAAGCCAACGTGAGTTGCCAAACAAAAATAAGGGAACCCCCAAGAAAGAAATCATCACTTTGGGAGACCTGGCAACGCTCCTTGCGACAAGCCCCTTCATGAAGGGGAGATTTTTAGAGCTTCAGTGCAACTGCTTATCCAGCCTCCAGTGAGGGAGACTCACCTGTGCCACGTTCAAAAGGGTGCTTCATGCTACGTTCGGGGGAACCAATCCTTGGCATGTCTCTTCTTTTTTCTAACCGCCCACTACAAACGAGCCGAATCGATCCTCAGCACGTCCCTTGCTTTTTGTGCAATCGCCCACCAAAATGAGCAGAACCCCAAGAAATATCAATACCCACGACAATAACAGTGCAAGGGTTTCGGGCCTTGTCCCCAAAAACCACTTCCTTGGCTCCCAAAAGGGAGGGAAAATCGCGGACCAGTGCCTTGTAGAGCTTGAAGGAGTGATCTGCGGCGTTGGTGCTCAGCGTCTGCTTCGCCAGCTTGTTGGGCATGACCCCTGAAATCGGAGCCCCAAAAAGCGGCGGGCTTCTCATTTGGCTTCTCAAGACCGCACCAAAAGGTACACTCAAAGAAAACCTTGACCACCTCTGCCCCATTTGGGCTTGTTGTTTGTCTATGAACGGGGAACTCCTGACAAGGTTGGTTTACTTTGGCTTCCCAAGAGGATACCCTTAACACGGTCTCAGCTCTCCAGGTCAGACCCACCGAGCCCCTGCCGGCGTGGCACGTGGGAAACGTGCTGCACATCCGATGCGCTTGGAACCAAATACAGGACAAATGGTCCAAATGCCTGACACTCCGCTTCAGTCGATCCCTTCTGGCCTCAGCGGACCATGACCACTTCAATTAAAACAATGCGTTTCCCCGCCTCCGGTCTAGCTGACCTCATGATAAGGAAACCCCTCATGGGTATGTATCAAAAGTTGGGACCTTTCTGGCGGGTTGTTACAAGGCCGACCTGAAGGAAAACTGACCACCTGGACGGGGGTTACTCAAGTATTCCAAACTGGGAACTAAGCTCATCAACATCAAAGCAGAATAACTCATGTGCTTACTGCAAACAGTCATCTTCAGCTAATGGACCGGCATCATGAGCCCAAACAACTAGTGACTCTCTCCAGGCCTGCGCCGCCCGCCCAGGCGTCGTAGCAGGACTCGCACACGTCATGGGAGGCGCAGGACTTGCAAGCATAGCCTTGCCCAGCTGGACATGGAACGCAGACTCACAAAGAATTGAGGTTTAAGGTGACCAGCCCAAGGGCCACTTGTTTTCATGGGAAAGGGGCAACATCGGACAGGCTTTCTTCGGTGGTTGAAAACCAGACCAAGGTGAACTGGCTCGGCAAAAAGCAGGATGGTGGTTACTTTTCAATAGTCAATCATGCCAGACGACAGAGTGGCTCAGCAAAGCGACATCCTCAAAAACATAAAGAGCTTGAAAGCGAATTCGCCAGGACCCAAATTTCTCCAAATATTCATTGTAGTCTGCATAACTCAAAAAACTTGCCCGAATGCAAACTAATTGCGCGCGCCCCCGCCTAGCCATTTACCTGTTCATTGACCTCTTGATTTTTCTATCTATCAATCTGCCTGCCAATCCATCACGCCTGTATTTGTGCATCCATTTTGTCTACCCATGTCTATACATCTCTCCGCCTACTTGTGTCTTTATCCACCTACCTACCTGCCTCCCTGTCCATCTATCCTACTCGTATCGCTTGTTTCCTACCTGTTACGAGCATCTATCAGTCAAATATTTTCTAACCATCCATCTATCCATCTATCTTTATCTAATCTAGCCAAGTCTACTCTAACTTGAGAAGGGAGATACGAAAGCTGGGGTGCCGCAAAGTGGCCCCCCCTAAACCCTAATGTGTCGAAAAAGCGAACTGTGTCCTCTAAAAAAAAGGAAGGGGCTTGCATCGAATACCATTCAGGTGCGCATGGAGCTCAGCAGCTGGCTTTGCTAAGAGGCAATTTCCGCTCCGCGAAAGGCGGAAGTACTGGTTGACCATGTAAAGCGCGACACTGGTAAAGCGAGCAAGGGACAAGGTGCACCTTGAAGTGGCCAGGGGGGCGTCGAGGCATTGGTTTTGCGGCCGGGCCGCCCAGACCCACTCAGTCTAGCTACCTGTCTATCTTTCTATCTACCAATCCATCTAGCCAGAGTTATCTCGTTCTATTTGTCTCCCTACCTCTCTCTTTGAGTAACTTTAAGCTTGACACAACGAGCCGACTGCACGACAGGGCCAACAAAAATGCCACTCGCGAAAATGCTTGCATGCGCCGCCAAGCAAAACATCTCAAAACGATAACCTGCGAACCGCAAATCGCAGAGGCACGGCGAGCAACCTCCCAAAACACTTCGCCTGTGCAGCGAACGGCACGCAACCAGATCCCCCCAGGCCCCTTTCTACAACAGGAGCCCTTCTGCTACAAATCCAAAACCTCGGAGAGCTCGCTCGCTTTGCTATTGCCCCCTGTCTCAGCAAAAGCTGTTGTTAGTCAGTGCGGAAAAGGCATCTTCGTAAAACAGTAAAGGGCAAGGATCCAACCATACAGCAAACAAACAATTGACCACAGGAAGAAGGAACCCTTGCCACTGCGCTGGGTGGCGGTAACCGAAGATCGGCACACCCGCGCATGCGTCACCTCGGTTTTGCTAGATGACTGACGTCTCACGTTGGGCAGGCCGCTAGTTTGATGGTCCGGGGTTGGCAAACTGGCAGTTCACCCATTTAACCAGCGCAAACCGTTCTTAGGTAACTGCCGGACCATCCAAGTAGGTGCGATTTCTTTCCTGGTCTTCATCTACCCGTCTCATTTTTCGACAGCGGCTCCAAACGTGCTCAGCAACCATGAGTCAAGGGTAGTCTTGCCTGCCCGGGTGCCTTCTCTAAACCTCGATGGCTTGAGCCCCAAGAATTTTGAAAGAATGGGGAGGTAGAGTTCTTTGCCAGTTGTCAATTCAATGTGTATACAGCGGCGCCACCTTACAAATGCACAATGATCAGGTTCTCAATTCTGTGCGTCCGTGTCTCCGTGTGTGCGTGTGGAGCATTGGTGCATGGATGTGGTGTGTGTGTGTGTGAGTAGGTGCCCGTGCGCATGCGTTTGTGCTTGTCCTGGTGTTCGTGCCTCGAGATTAGCCGCGAAGGCTTTGCCTTTTTGTCCTGCGAGGGTACCCGTTTCAAGCCTTCGATTTGAAGAGCCCAGGCCTTCTTCGGGCTCGATCTAAATTCCATGTGCCTAGTCCACCCCACAAAAGACAATTGAACTAGATATTAAGTTCCGAGTGCCAACGGCCTCCCCTTCCATTTTGACTAGGTCGGATCGGTGGGGCAAGGAGCATAGGCCATGTTAGGACTGTTAGGATCTCCGCCAAAAAGGAGAAGGAAGGCAAAAGGTGAAGTCTTTGGGGACAACCACCAAGCCTGGGAATGGCTTTGGACAAGGTAAAGGCTCCGCCCGAACCTCCGTGCCAAGCCGCAAGTGATGCCTGACGGGCATGGGGTCTCAACTACCCGTTAAACACAGTGTGACGACCCCATACTCCAGTACACGCATCTTCTTTTGTAGGTGTCATGCTCATGGGGGGAGGGGTTAGGGCATTGTTTGAGGTAATGCCAATATCCCCACGTTGCAAGGGCCATGGAAGCTCCAAGCGGTCCGAGTTTTTGTGCCGAGAGGGATGTGATACCGCGAGATACTTGCCAATGACTTCACAGGAAGGTTTCCTGGGCGACCAACCTCACTCCAATCCCCAAAATAGATGGCTTTCCTTTGAACTCCCCTTTGATTTTAACCATTTGAAAAGGGTGTCCTAGAACGCCTTGGCATACCTTTGACCCCCCAATGACAGGAATCAGAATCAGAGGGCCGAGCAACTCTCAAAAATCCTGCTGGAGGGTCTTGTGTAGTGTACTACCCTCCAAAACACCCAGACAGGGCTGCGGGAAACAACCACTTCTGTGATACAACAAAACGGGCCCCCGAAGACCAACCCCCTTTATAAAGAGGGGATTGCCTTGTATCACAGAAGTGGTTGGATAAGCCTCGAGTGGTCCCACAACCCTGCACCCAGCTAAACTAAACCACCGGAAACAAAAACCACGGTTTGGCGCCCATCTCCCGCAACGTGGAACTGCTTCTCCCAGTTCTTCGGGGTCCAGGTCCATCGTCTATCAAACATGGTGTGGATGGACGATTTTCTTTTGGCATTATCACTTGGTTGCTGGCGAGACCCCTCTGCAAAAGTCTTAACTTTTTGTGGCTTTGGTGGAAAACATAACTTGATTTCCCAAAAAGTTAAAGTCTAAAGATCCAACCCAATAGCAGCCAAGTTCATTCCAGGGTCTCTGAAAAGGTGGTGCAGAATTTCGTCCGGTGAAACCCTGGTTGGGCCCACGGGTTGAAACTATTCTCTCTCTCTGGCTCTCTGCCGCACCATCGCTCAGCCGCCCAGAGGTGGGGTGCCAAAAGCCCGTTTCAGGCCGTCGGAAGGTGGTGCGCAGGTTTCAACCATCGTTCGTTGGTACATTCAGGGGGATAAGGATTCATGATTCATCTTGAACAACCCTGTTGGTTGGTTGGCTCTTTATCATAGGCCTGAAAAGTGATATCAAACACATCCAACGTCAGATCAACTATCTCCCACGAAACCTTCGTGCGTTTTGCCTGCGATCGGTGAGCTTGTGGAAGCAAACAACTTGGTCAGGCTCGGTCGGGCCAACCAATATTTACGCTTCCTCTCAGACGTGCCCTGAATTTCCTTCATGCAGCCAACAAACAGCAAGCGAAGTCTACAGAATGGGCTTGGCTGCTCTCAAAAGGGCGGATTCGCGCGACCTCACTTTGGCGCAATCCAAATTTGGGAAGACCTGGATACAACGTGGCCGGCACTCCTCGGCTGCTCCCACACTCTCACAAACCAACTAGGCCAGAAGGACGAGAGGGCTGTTTCTTGGTCACTGTTCAGCCCTAAACCCGCGATTTGAATCTTTGACGTCTTTGCCATCATTGCTGTAGCGTTGGGGTCCAAATGTAAGCTGCCAAGCGTTTTCATGAGTCTTCCTAAAGCCGACCATGATTCAGAGAAACCAGATGCCTTGGTGCTCGCCGTAATACGCGGTGCCCTTCTCCTCGATCTCCTTCTTCTTCGCTTCCTGGAACGCCTGTAGGGCTTCCGCCTGCCAGCAGGCGCTGAACCCCCGCTCACTTGTGGCAGGTCAGCGCTCCATGAGTCAGAACAGTGATGCAGGTTTGCCTCAAAATTAGGGGGGAACCCCGACATGGGTGGTCTTCCCTTGATTCCAGCTTCGATCAAGCCCAAAAAGTGTACCAGCAAAGAAAAAGTCGCACATGTCAAACCCACTGAAGCATGCTTTGAATTGTGGCCAGGTATCCCATTGTCTCTACATGCTGCAGATCTGATTCTCGTGTCTCGGACTGCAAGACTCGCACTCCATTGGTGCTGAATCTAACATGTGGGAAGATCCCTCGCAGCTTCATGCACGCACACATCTCTTTTTCCCCAACTCGGTTTTTTGGAAACCATGCTCTGACACCCTACACTAGAGTCTGCATCAACCATCGCTGGACTTGCATGGGCGCACTTTGAGCGCCAACAGTGCAGGGGGATGCACACACACCCTCCCCTTGTGGTTTTCCATTAGGGGTAATTCTGTAGCGAGTTCCCCATTCTCTAACCATACTCAACTATATATTTTTTGTTCAATATTGCAAATCGGAAACACAAGTTTCAGACATCACATGCAAACCAGGACCCACATATTCTCTGCATAAATGAACAGAACATATCTATGCGGATATCTATGCATATACGAGCATACACACATATATGTGTTGATATTCTTCCATTTGCTTAAGCACCCTGAAAAAACAGTCAGTAGTGGTAGGTTCCCTTTAAACCCAACAAGGGACACAACAACTACTCTTAGGCAAATGATTGTGGATATGCTTTTTGTTTAATATATCTATATCTATTTGAAGCACCAGCAGCAGCAACAGGGCCGATTCTTTCTGAGTCGCTTCGCCTTGTCTCGCTCAGCCTTGGCGGCCGCCACGCGTGCCATGATCTCAGCGCGCTTCGCCTCCTTCGCTTCCTCCTCCGGGGTTTTCGGCTCCTTCGCTTCCTCCTTCGCTTCCTCAACAGCACAAACAAAAACAACAACACAACAAACATGGACACACGGGGGGCCAGCAGGACACCAACATGCTAATTTGGGGGGGGGTCTATTTTGACACATGGGGGTTGATGAGAAGGTCCCATGAACATGGGATGAACATGGGATGACTATAAAAAGATGATGTTACCCATGGTCATTTGGTGGCCAGGAGTATTGATCACCCCCCACATGCGCGCGCGGCCACATACGCACAACTACCGCAACACACGCGCAATGAAAACAGAGGAAACTGCATAAAACCCCGTCTTGCATGTCGAGGAGAGTAAATTTGATTCCTTTGATGACCACTTTGTACAGAATGCATTTTTTTGGGAATCTGGGCAAGTATTCCTGTCCCTTTTGCAGATGCGCCTTGAAACGAGACGCATGTCACAGAAGAAAAACAGAAAAACAAAAAACAAAAAACAAGGACAATGACTACTTCAACCCACCATATCAATGCACGTAAGTTGCTGCAAAGGACCTGGACATTAAAAATGAGTTGAGCTTTGGAGACCTCAAAATGAGAGCCCACAATTGGAAGCCCACAAGGTCAAAAGTTAAAAGGTCGATTCGCTTTGGACAAACTGAGGTGTTCCAGGTGCGAGCGAGCCTCAGGCTTCTCCTCACTTTTCTCGGCGACTTCCTCCCCCATGGCTGCAGAAGCGGGCTCGTTCGACGAGGAAAAGCCCGAATCGAACTGGCTGAAGGTCACTGGCCGCGGTATTTGGCTAGGGACTGCGAGCTTCATGCGACGTCTCGATGTACATGCTGTGAGCCGAGAAAACTTGTGCAGCCGAAGCGGCTTCAATGTAGCGGCAAGAGAGGTTGTTGAATCCAGCTAGGGTGCGGATTACGATGATGATGATGATGAGGATGATGATGAGGATGATGGTGAGGATGATGAGGATGATGGTGCGGATGATGATGAGGATAATGATGAGGAGGATGAGGAGGATGAGGGTGAGGATGATGATGAGGATGATGAGGATGAGGGTGAGGATGATGATGAGGATGAGGATGAGGATGATGATGAGGATGATGATGAGGATGATGATGAGGATGAGGCTGCTGAGGGTGAGGCTGCTGAGGGTGAGGCTGCTGAGGGTGAGGATGATGAGCATGATGATGCGGATAATGATGAGGATAATGATGAGGAGGATGAGGAGGATGAGGATCAGGATGATGATGATGATGATGATGATGATGATGATGATGATGATGATGATGATGAGGATGAGGATGAGGATGAGGATGATGATGATGATGATGATGATGATGATGATGAGGATGATGATGATGATGATGATGATGAGGATGAGGATGAGGATGAGGATGATGATGATGATGGAGCTCACCACAAGGTCCCAAATACAATGGGAAAGAATTAAATCAGAAGTTAATTCCTGGAATGCGTGTAAATCAGGGTCCCACATGCAATAGAAAAGAAGTAAATC